ACTTGGCCCCATTTAGCAGAATATGTAGCATTAACAACAATCATCCCTGCATTAGACAAAGCATTCATGATCTTTGGCATTCTCAACAAAATCAAAACTGATAATGGACCCATCAGGATTTTTGTTGGCTGATGGAGCATAAGCCTTTTTGCAGCATGGGAGAGATTAATCGCAACCCGTGCAAATAGATAAAAAAATAGCAATGTATCTCAGATGTAGCTATGTGTACAGTACTACACCAATTCTTATGACCTTATGGATCTCCCGCACATGAAATGACAAATGCCACACCCATGTCTCTGATGTTTCAGAGGGATGCTATGAAACAATTTCTCTCCATCTAAGCCATCCCAGGCCAAAGACATCGGAAGATGAGACTAAAAGATGACCAGGCAGAAGCTAATGTTGATCAACAAAGAACAGCTATATTGTCTGATCTCTGGAAAGGTGACCAACCACTTGTAAAGCAGCCAGTGACTAATAAGTGAAAAACCCTGTATGAACCAAGACTTTTCAGCAACAAGAAGGCGGCAGAAAGTCTGCTGAAAATGATGCTTATGTAATCATCTGGAACATATATCATTCTGAGAGACAGACAGACACTAATAAAGGTAGCTTGGGGGATGGGTAGGGAAAAAGAAGGAAAGAGGGAGTGAGGGAGACTGACATTATGGGGTGTTGTCTATTTTAAGGAGAGAAATTGTTTTGTATTTGAAGCAGAGGAGAAAGAAACACAGATGGTCTGACTCCCCAGTGGTGGCAAGAGCAGGTGGTCTCCTTTCTTTTTGGTAATGACAGTAGCTGTCATATTATTTTGAAGTCTCCTACAGGAAAAGTAGTGAAATAGATATAAAATCAAAAATAGCAAATTGATGTACTAGACAGTGAGTTTTAGTCATTTGGTCTGTGAAGAGTAAACAAAGCACAGGGCACCTGGATGCAAGAAGATAGGCCAACAACAGAATCATAGATTCCAAGGCCAGAAGGAACCATTGTGATCATCTAGTCTGACCTCCTGTAGAACATGGGCCAGAGAACTGCCCCAAAATAATTCCTAGAGCCGAGCTTTTAGAAAAACATCCAGTCTTGATTTGAAAATGGTCAGTGATGGAGAATCCACCAGAACCCTTGGAAAGTTGTTCCAATGGCTAATTACTCTCACCGTTAAATATTTATGCCATATTTCCAGCCATATTTCTAGTTTCATCTTCCTGCCATTGGCTCGTGTTATGCCTTTCTCTGCTAGATTGAAGAGCCTGTTATTAAATATTTGTTCCTCATATAGGTACCTACACACTAATAAAGTCACCCCTCAATCTTCGCTTTGTTAAGCTAAATAGACTGAGCTCCTTGAGCCTATCTCTAGAAGAAAGAGAGCCTGAGACATAAGGCCTTGTATCAGAGGCCTGGTGTGAGGCTTGAGGCCTGAACTAAAGTAGTGGGCAAAGCTTTGCTGATATAAAGCAAAGTCAGGTTGCGAGCAAGAGGCAGGCCCTGCTCACAGAATCTGACAAGAACAGGGCTGATATTGCAGAAACACACATTCCTAAGTTGTGTTAGTCACAAGAATACACATGCAAACGCATTCCAGAAGGGTGGTACCAGAACACCTCGATAGCAACCCATCCCAGAAAGAGACTAGGAACATGCTGACCCATCCTAAAGATAGGGTTAGGATGACAGCATGATGGATAGCGATATTTTGATTGAACCAACAGGTACAAGGCAAAGGGTGACACCCAGATACGTCAGGGGCAATACATAACTTGTTTGTATTGGTGTATAAAATGATATCTCAGAGGGAGTGTTTTTGTCTGGCCTTGGGCGGGGAGGGGAGAACGGAAAGTCCCGCCGTTCACTGATCTGGTCCATTGTAATGGGCATACATGTGCTAGTGGTCCCGTAGAGTCTGTGGGATTCTAGGACCGTGCCTTGTTGACAATAAACCTGTCTGGGTGCCTTAGCTAAAAACCGAGTCTGTGGATTTATTGGGCAGTTCAAATGAAGTCTGCTGTCTCCACTATCTGCGCAGAGCTGGGACAGCAAGCTGAAAGAACACACACACGCAGTCAAACATCTCTCAACAGCAAGCTTTCTAAACTTTTCGTCATTCTTGTGGCTCTCCTCTGAACCCTCTCCAATTTATCAACATCTGTTTGGAATTGTGGACACCAGACTAGCTAATTGAAAACTGGGTTGTTGTTTTTCTTGAAACTTAAAGGAAAAAAAAGTCTGGTCTTTTATCACTGTATAACGTGACAGGGTTTTTTCACAGTCATTTTGCAGTAACAATTAGCATCCCTTTATCCAGTGATCTAGCCAGCTACCTAGCATAGGTGTTTATAACATGCTGATCTCCCAGATGTGCAGAGCAAATCAGGATTAACAACTCATTCAGTCCCTCTTCACAGCAGCCAAGAATCTTTGGATTACTCTAAAGGGGCAGGTTATATAATTTTGAGGAGGTACAGCATTGCTACCAACAATAGGAAGACACTAGAAAGTGCCCCCCAGGCTAAGGTTACTTTCTCGTGGAACTGTATTTTGCCCCCAGAAGAAAACATTTCACATAAGAAGCTTGTGCTGCCTATGCGTCAAGAGAGTCATGTACCCGTGGAGACCAAGTCACCTTTGCTGATAAGGGAGGTGTACACGTTACTGCCCGGAGCCTGTCTGGAACATTGTGCACAAGTGGTGCCATAGTGTCTCGTCCCTTGGAGGTTACAATATTGTAGAACAGCTTTAATTTCTGCAAACGGATATGATTTTCAAAAGCCCCTAAGTGATTTAGGAGCCTAAGTCCCATTTACAGAGAGCCTAATGAAAGTTAGGCTCTTAAGTACCTACGCCACTTTTGAAAATAGGACATAGGTGCTTTTGAAAAATATACCCAAGGTCATGATCCTTTCTATGAAGGCTGTGGCGGGGATGTGCTGTACCAGTGCATCTTCTGTCCAGCTGACCCTTTTCCTGCTAATGCCACCTACATCTTGTCCATGCAGGCTGCCTGCAGAGTCCACTAGAAGGAAGGCAGCATCTGCTTTGCACTCCCACATCATCACTCCCTTTCTGCCCCTGGAGACCCTGCACCTGGATTTACACTGGCTAAAGCTGCCACTCTCTGGGTTGACCCAAAGCTTTTAAGAAAAATAGTAAAATATTGAGAGGGAGGAAGCAGGTTTTACATCAGAGCAGGTGGCAACATGGTGAACGTTCATAATGAACGGAACCAAAACCCGGTTGTATTTTTTATCTAACAAGCGGGCGGCTGGTGTGTTAAACTGAAGAACTAGAGGCATTCCTGAGAGAAAGTAAAAGGTAGTAAGATACCAAAGGGAAGGAAACAAAGACGTTCTTTAGCATCCATGGTGATCGAGCTGGGCATAACTGCTACTTCCAACATCAGGACGGAGAGAATTAACAATAGACACCAATCCCACATTGGTGCTGTGCCACCAAATGAAACCAGGCTGCAGCTGTTCTAACACTGCTTCCTCAGTAACCTTTCCTGAGAAAGGAAGGTTAGAGACCAAAGATTAAGTGACAAGGTTGTCTCTATCTCTAGAGACTTTCTTCCTGAGCAGGGGTTCATTATCAGTTGGCTGACTTTGTACTCTTGGTGGAGACATTAACAATACCTAGTCAATAACAGACCTAGAGATTTTCTCCAGTTATGACAAAGGGCGGGGATCTAGCTGACAAGTGGTGGGCAAAGCTCTCCCAGTGCACCTAAAACCTCAGTGACTGAAACAGAATGAAATCCAGACTGTGAAGTGGTGTTTGTTGCCTTCTGCATTCTCGGTGTTGGCCAAGTATCCCTTTCCAGCTGCACCCCCATATTCATCAAAAGAACCAAATACTGTTGGAAGAGTTCGTTTGTTCCAAGAACCAGCCCACACACCCAACTCTCTCCCTTCCAGAGGCTGCTCATCCAGACTGAACCTGCACATCAAACTTTGAGGTTTGCCCATTGGTAGAGTATGTAGGAAGGATGGTCCAGTGGGTAGGACACTAGCCTAGAACTTGGGAGACCTTGGTTCATGTCCCTTCTCTGCCACTGACTACCTGTGTGACCTGGGGCAAGTCACTTGGCCTCTTGGTGCCTTAGTTCCCTATCTGTGAAGGGGGGATAATTGCCTTGCTTTTCAGGGGTGTGGTGAGAATAAATACATTTAAGATTGTGAGGTGCTCTGAGATGTACTGAAGAAAAGTGATACATAAGAGCTAGGATTTATCATGATGAAATACATGAAGTCCTGCATTCAAGTGAGGCCAAAGCTGATTCTCTAGAGCAGGGGTTCTCAAACTGGGGGTCTGAAGCTGTCAATCTCCACCCCAAGCCCCGCTTTGCCTCCAGCATTTATATTGGTGTTAAATATATTTTAAAAGTGTTTTTAATTTGAAAGGGGGGTCACACTCAGAGACTTGCTATGTGAAAGGGGTCACCAGTAAAAAAAGTTTGAGCGCCACTGCCTAGAGCAGTCCTATTTATTCCCCATAAATGTTGCTTTCTGTGGGTGGTATTTCTGTGAATGTCAGTGATAGTGGCATGTGTGTACAGCTAGTCGCAGTTACCGGATCAGAGAAGGGGTTCACATCTCTATAAGGGAGAAAATTCTACTAGTGCATCATCCTTTTGCCTGCAGTCACTCTCCCTGATTGAATGTGGCCTCCAGTACCTTTAGTTGCTACAGCCAAGGAAATATTTCTGTTTTCCTTTTTAAAGAGTGGCTAAGCAGAGGGTGTTACAGAGGAGAAAGGAAGCTCTCGTGACCCATGTTTGCTTTTGACTCAGTCATAGAGATTTGCTTTGAAGTGTTATTGCCTTTCTTCTATTCCATGGCATTCGCTCTGTGATGTTAGCGCCTGTAACCTCTGCTCAGTGCGTTCCAAAGGGAATTCCTCAACTGCTCGTGCAGGGCTAGAAATGCCGCCACTCAGTATGCAGAATTCCAACAAGGCGCCACTGAGTTATGTTTAAACCATATTCCAAAGTTTACCTTAGTTCCTTGAAGGGGTCTGCCCTGACACTGGGAGTTTCTATAGATTTAGGGAACACTGTGCCTTCTGCTCCTGAAATAACAAAACAGAACACAAGTTGTAGATGTTACAAACTGTAAGCAGGGGAGTGACTCTCAAATCACACTTGGCACAATTTACAGGTTATCTGACCCCCCTGCATGCCCCCGCTCCATCCTCACAAGTAACTGGATTCAGAATGCTGAGCTGAATTTTCAAAACTGGCTGCCTCGTTTGCACCCAGAACCTGGATGCACTCTGCACAATGCAATCGCTTCTGTTCCGAGGATGGAAAAGATTCAGACAGCCATTTTAGAAAATTTGATCCGTCATTATGCATAAATGTCTCTAGTACAGATGCACACTTCATTAGCTAATACAGATGCATAACATGAAATGATTTATGTTTTCTTGCTGCGATGGACTTAAAGGAGAGAACAAAATCCCAGGTTAATACAGCCACCTCAAAAGTTTGCAGTGACTTGCATGCTGAATAGGGAGGTGGTGCTGTCCAGTGAATAAACTACAGGACAAGAAGGCAGGAGACCTGGGGTCTAGTTCTGCCACTGATTTTGTTGTGTGACCTTACACAAGTCACTTGATCTCTCTCTGTTTCACATTTCCCATCTGTACAAAGGGGATGATAATGGTTTACTTACCTTTTTCTGATCTCGAGATGCCAAGTACCAACTATGATTCATAGATTTATAAATATTAAGGCCAGAAGGGACCCTTACGATAAATTAACATGACCTCCTGTATAATATAGACCATATAATTCCATCCAGTAATCTCTGCATCAAGTCGATATTTTGTGGTTGAACTATAGCATATCTTTTAGGAAGACAGAGTCTTGATTTAAGTACTTAAAGTTGGAGAAATACCTTCACTGTAAAAATTTGCACTTTATTTCAAGTCTGCATTTATCTAGCTTCAATTTCCATGTTATGTCTTTGTTTGCTAGATTAAAGAGCCTTCTACTATCAGAAATCTTCTCCCTTTGTAGGTACTTATAGAGTGGGATCAAGTCACCTCTTAATCTTCTCTTTGGTAAACTAAATAGATTGAGTTTACTAAATCTTTCACTGAGTGGTGTTTACCAGACCTCAAATCATTCATGCTCTTTTCTGAGCCCTCTTGTTTCCAACATCCTTCTGAAGTGAAAACACCAGAACTAGACACAGATTTCAGTAATGGTGTCACCAATGCTTTATAGAGATAATACCATCTCCCTTCTTCTACTCAATATTCCCCTGCTTATACATCCAAGAATCACATTGTCCCGTTTACCCCTAGCATCATATTATGTGCAGCTGGTTATCAATCATGATCTTTAAGGCCCTGATTTTTAAAGGTATTTAGGCATTGTGGAATTTTAAAAAGCAATGTACACACTTACGAGCCAAAATCCACAGGTGCCTAAATCCCTTAGGAAAATGAGATTTAGGCTCTTAAATCAGTTAGGTGTTGGAAGGCCGAGCAGTGCAATGCCTAAATACCTTTAAAAAATCTGGGCCTAAGTCCTTTTCAGAGTCTCTGCTTTCCAATATACAATCCCCTATCCCGTAAGTGTGACCTACATTCTTTGTTTCTAGATCTATGACCTTGTATTTGACTGTATTAAGATACATGTTTAAACGAATTCAGCTTAGCAAGAAATCCAGAGAACTTTGCGTAACTATCCTGTATACCTTATCACTATTCATCACCAGTTTTAATGGCATCTTGCAAACTTTACCAGCAGTGATTTCATATTTTCTTCCAGATGAATGATAAAAGATATTGAATAGCATTGTGCTGTGAACAGATCCCTAGGGGCCATGACTAGAAACCAACCCCTTTCCAATTACTTTGTGAGATCTATCAGTTAGCTGGTTTTTAATTCATTCAATATGTGCTACATACTTACTTACTATTCCTATGTGCACTTCATAAGCGAGCAGTAGGAAATTCTTTGAACCACAATATGTATATATTTTTTGTGATGAAAAAGAAAAGTAAGGTTACTTACCTCATAGTAACTGGAGCTGTTCAAAATATGTGGGCCCTATGGGTATTCACTGTGGGTGTGCACATGCTCTGCATGCCTGGGACTGGAAATTCTTCAATAGCAGTATCCATTGGTCCATGCCTACATGTCCTTGTGCTGTGAACCAAAGGCATAAGGAACCCTGACAGTTCGTGAAGGAGGGGCTCCCGTTATCTTATAGCAGAGGAGGATGCAGTTGGAAATCCATTTGAGAGTCTTTTGGAAGATATTGTCTCTCCTTTCACTCTCTTGGTTATAGAGACGAAGAGCCGTGGAGAATTCGTAAAGGGCCTGGACCTATCTAGGTAGAAGGGCAGAGCTCTGTGTACATCTACGGAGTGAAGTTTCCTGCCCTCTCCATTCCTGTTAGATTTGGGGTAAAATATGGGTAGGTGACCCATCTGGTTCAAGTGAAAGTCAGAGGGAATCTTGGGGATAAATTTAGGATGCATTCCCAGGGATACGTTGTGAAAGATATAAGGCAGATCCGTTATAAATAAATGTCTATCAGGGATGGTCTAGACAGTATTTGGTCCTGCCATGCGGGCAGGGGACTGGACTCGATGACCTCTCGAGGTTCCTTCCAGTCCTAGAATCTATGAATCTATGAATAAGTGCCCTTACCCTCGGGTCTGAGCTGATATCTGTGAGGAAGGCTACCTTCACTGATAAGTACAACAGGGAGCAGGAGGTTAAGGGTTCAAATGGCGGGTTCATGAGTTCAGAAAGTACCAGGTTCAGGTCCCAAGTTGGCATAGGTCTTGATACTGGTGGGAATGTTCTGACAATGCCTTTTAAGAATTTGACTGCCGCAGGATGGTTGAAAATTGAACAGCTCTCTCCCGGAGGATGAAAAGCATTGATAGCTGCTAAATGAACCCGTAGTGAACTGATGGAGAGGCCCACTGACTTCAAGAGGAGGAGATAGTCCAGGATAACAATTTCAGACTCCTCCCAGAGGCAAATGATGCTTATGGCGTCACACTTTTTTGAAGTGGGTTTCCTGCTATTGAGAAAGAAAGACTGGACCTCCTCTGAGCAAGCTCTGTCTGTTGCCCATCCAAAAACCAAGCTGTCAGATGGAGAGATGCTGGGCTGGGATGGTTGGTTCTGCCTCTGTTCTGTGACAGAAAGTCTGGAAACATCTGTAGGTGAATTAATGGTCAGGACACCATATGGCAGCTTGCTTTTCTTCCCCTTGTGTTAAGGAGATCTGGTTCTATTGCTCCTCGTTGGCTTATGGAGTTCACCTCCTGTTCGAAAAGTGTCTTGTGAGAGGGATGGGGAGAGGGGGTTTGTAGAAGAGATGGACAGGAATTCGATTGTACAGCCAACTGAGATGTTGACTAGGGCCAATTTGTCTGCAGCTAAGTGCTGCCACATCAGAAGAAAATGGGCTGGGAGGCCACCAAAGGAAGTGGGGGAGACTGGTTGTGTAAGGACAGGTTGACATTTCTCTTTCATCCTGTCAAAATGACTTCGTGATAGATGACTGGGTCAGGAGAGGGGACGGTGGTGGAGTGATGGGTCTGCCACGCTGTAGCCTCTGGTGCTTCCTCGGCGGCTCATACGGCTTCTGGTGGTAGGACACCTGTGGGGCTGGCTGGGATCTTTGCTGTGGCAACTTAGAATATTTTCTGCAAGGTGCCGAGGTGGTGCAAGAGTCTTTGAGTGAGTGAAGTGATTCACTGGCTCATTCACTGAAAAGGTTGTTATCCTTGAAGGATCATGTACTGTGGCCTGAACCTCCTGGGGAACCCCGATGTCTGCAGCTAAGAAGCCCACCTCATAACCAAAACAAACTCCAAGTTAATAAAGTCAGATTTTGATGAGTGCCTGGTCGTTCACAATACTGAACAGCTGGTTGGCTGAAGAAAAGCTCTTTCTGTCAAAGAGATCAAGTCTCCTTGTCCAAAGGAGTGGACTGTGGTGGGTGTAATCTGTTCTGCTCCGTGTCTGCTTGGACAACCAGAGAGTTCAGGTTTGCGTATGAGAACAAATATTCCATGCCCTTAGAGGGAACAAAATACTTATTTTCAGCCCTCTTTGGGAAAACAGCACAGGTGGATGGTGCCAAATGTCCTTAGCAGGATCCGAAATGGCCTCATTGAGAGGGAGACATCAACTGGAGACTGTGCAGGAGTTTGTGTGTAGAATCCTAAACCTCTTCCAGTGGAATCTGGAGGGTTTCAGCAACCTTCCGCATAAGCTCTTGGTACTGTCTGTAATCATCCGGAGTGGGAAAGGGTTGGTGCCTCCCCTTCCTCTGAAGATGAAGACACCATTGGCAGATCTGGAAGTACTGGCTGCTCTGTTTGCTCTGGTTCCTTCACCTGCCCTGGGGGCAGCTGGAAGTGTTCCACTGGACGTAATCTCCGATGAGATCGGTGCCCCATGGGGTCAAAGTCTGGGGCTTGATAGTTAGAGCCCTGCGTGGATACAAAATTTGTATCCACATCCGATCCACAATCTGCAAGCATAGTCCGCGGATATAAAGTGGATATCCACAGATTTGCCAGGCTCTATTGATAGTAAGGGTCCTAAGAAGTCTAGTATGGCTAGTGAGTGGGACCACAGGGATGGGGGATGGACCTAGGAGGGTACCATTGATCCCTGGATGTCAGGAATGGGTCGCAGTGATGTAGGGGACTCTGGGAGGCTCTGGAAGTCCTATTCAGGATGATGCCTTGTGTATCGAATCTTGGGACCAGAACCAGCGGTAGAAGCTCCCGTTCTTCCTCGGAGTAAGAGTCACCCAACTCAAAGGACAGAGCTGTTGGTACCATTCTTGTCTCATGGCAGCTCGGACTGAGGCGTACTCTGGCAAGAAGCACCCCAATAGTGTGAAAGAGTCAACAGCTCTGCTAGTGGTCAGGACTGGTGAGTGACGGGAGCGTGGGTGGGTGGTGATATCTCGCACTAGCACTGGGTCCGATAGGAGGAGAGATTCCAGATCTGTGTAAATTGCCAAGTTCTTCAGAAGGGTGTACTGAGGTCTGGCAGCAGGAGAACTGATCAGAGTCTT